ATATATATATTTGTAGGAGTATACTCTCTGTACAGTGGAATGTCGAAAGGAAGGAAGTGTAGGAAATTGCCTATTTGCAATTGTAATTTATTCATTTTGCTTAATATGCCGTGAAGCGCAAGGCTTTCACTGCCACAGCCACTGCCACTGCCACTGCCCCACAAACAAAACAATAATTTTCTCATATTTTTTTCCTTTCCATGTTTGCTGTTGTATTTCCAGCATTTGAACGCCCATTTTTTGGGGGGGCCACTAGCTTGTCAATTGCAATGGTTTGACTAATGACTCGGTGCCAAGGTCATGGACAGAACCCATTGTTGTCGATTTCAATTAGGATCTGCGCTTAATTTGCATAATTATCATAAAGTTTGACGAGGGATAACGAGCCAGTCGAGTGGCAAATCGTCCTAGTTCTACTAGGATTTTATCTGATGGATGGATGTTCTACTCCTCGAGCATTCAAATTAGGTCTTGATTTGTCCCAAAATGAGACCTTTTTCCACTGATAATGGTGATTGCTTAAAGTGATTGAGTTTCCTGGCAAATTTGTCACAGCTTTCAAAATAAATACGTGATGACCTTGCTGGCAGAATTACCCGAATTTATAGTCAAATGAGAATTATTTGTTTTTAATATTAGAGAAAATCAAGATTTAAGCTTGAATTAATTCCGATTCAATAATAGCCTTAAGTATTATATTTATTTAAATTAATTGCATTTCACAGCTCACACAGTTTGGGGCACTCAAAGCAAGGTTAATTTTAAAATAAATATTATTTTCTGACATTTGAAAATCTGTTTTTGGTCTCTCAAGGATACATTTTAGTGAGATGTCACAGAAATTAAACATATTTTTAGCCTGAGATAACCAGAATATGGTATAGGAAAGAGTTTTCCCTTATATCTTACTTTTTATCGTCAGAGAAATCAATTTTAAATCGATTACTTAAACAAAAGAGAGGTCCCCGTATCAAAGCAACCGAGAAGCTGTGGTCTCTTCTCCTTTTGTTTTGCCTTTAAATTCCTTGCCGCATTTTCAGTCTCCCTTGGACTTAATCCTTAAGCTGTTACTCTCAATTTGCACAAGATCTTTGATTATTGGGATTCCCTTGTATATAAAGCCCCAGGCTCTATTCACCGGGATGCTTTGGCAAATGGACTGCAGAATCGGCTTGTTGCTGGTCGATGGAGCTATTTAGACAGACTTTCCTGATGCGGCTCACCTAGGTTGACTCCGAGGAATACGGGCCCATAGATTGCAGTTTTATGTCAGAACATTCAAACAAATCGCTGGCCATTTAAAACGGTTTAAAAGCCATTGCTGCAGCTCGTAAGAGCCACACGGTGTCCTGACTTTACCCCTCCAGACACAACAGCAGACAACCAACCGCTGAGCGGAATGAGTTTTTCCCTATCCGCTTTTTCGTTATCCAAGAGTTTTCCTTTTTCCGGGGGGATGACAATAAATGAGCGCCCATTTGCGTATGGTTTTCGTTTCGGGGTTGGGGACTGGCGAATAGTAGGGCCTGGGAAATTGTTTTGGCTGTCGAATTACGTAAACATTGTCATAAATGAAAAATTTAGCAGTCGTAGCCGAGTCAAGCATTTCATTTGCTGTGGCAAATTTGTCAATCTCGTCGAGAGTTTTTTTCTTTCTCCTTTTTTGCCATCACGACTTTGGCCCAATTCTGGTTTTTTGGCCCAGACGCCGCAGGGACTCACATGGACCACACTCTACCTCTCTCTCTCTGACTCTGTGTTTGTCTACTAACTTTGTTTTGTTTCGGTTTGGTTTGGTTTTCTTGTTTTTGGCCTGGAATTGCTTTCTTCTCTCGTGATGGAAGTCACAAGATGGAAGACTTTCTCCGTCTGCGTTAGGCGCGACATATTAATTATTCATTTCGATTTTGGTTTGCCATGGCAGCGGGATACCCAAAAATCCTACAAAAAGAGAAAGCAAGGCTCTTGGGCTGCTTGTGATTTATAAACACGCGCGTCGCTTTCGGTGATTTACTGCAAATTGCTTTATAATGTTATATACATTTTGTAGACGATTTTGCTGCCTTTCGGCGGCTTGCCTGCTTCCCAGTAATTATAAGAAAAACGGAAAGAAAAATGAGCCACGATTTGGTGGGATTTGTAATCCGATGGATTAAGTTCATGACTCTAGGCTTTAGGCTGTTAACAATCCAAAGATCAAAATATAAGAAATGGAAGTGGATTGGAATTGGAATTTTAGCTATGAAATTTGATTCAAGTTGAAGGTATTCTAAGAATGCTAGTAAACCTTTGATAGGAAGGACGTTTTAAGCATGAATACGTGGTATTTATATTTTAAGAAAATAACTCCAATGCAGACTTATTTCACAAAGCAAAAGACAGTAAAATAAGTTTATAATGTTTTTATTTATTACATTTTTTTTATTTTTTTTTTAACAAACTAAAACAATCATTACTTAGCAATGTAATAGTTTAAAACTCACTACTGCTTAGCTTTTTTCGCTTATGTCTTTTATTTTCTCCACCTCTTTTGTCGAGAGTCATCAACCAAGTGTCTTTTCAATTCTTGTTCATCCTTTCTGGCTTGTCCGTGAGCGAGATGGACATATATGCAAAACGATCTCTTAAAGCTAGCTTACATGCCAGAAAGAGATAACAGTATATATGGATAATATTTACAGTTAAGTTGTTTATCATTTGAACTTACAGTGGGTCTTATACCTATACCTCATGCTAAAAGTTGTACAGTGGGCCTTGGGCTACTTGTCCTACCACAGAAATTCACCTTTAAGTACCTGCGTATATCGATTTATTTATTATTCATTTTCCTTCCACAGAAACATCAACATTTTTGTATAAAAGCCAGGAAAGGATTTACAGTTAATATTTTACAATTAAGAGAAAATTTAATATTTTTGTATAATAGCCAAGAAAGGATTTACAGTTAAGTTATTTCTTCTTATACCTCATGCTAAATGTTGTACAGTGGGCCTTGGGCTTGAGACTTGTCCTACCACAGTAATTCACCTTAATGAACTTCCCTATATCGATTTATGTATGATTCATTTTCCTTCCACAGATACTTCAACATTTTTTTATAATAGCCAAGAAAGGAGTTCAATCAATTATTGAACAACCATTTACTTTCATTTGCATTAGTAACTTAAAAGCACAGAAATGCTTGGCCTCGAAGCATTTTTAATGATTATGAAAACGGAAGGAAGAAAAGTACTTTTCCGAGACACGTAAAAGTAAAAGCAAATCTTTGTACATTTCACATCTGCGAATTTAGTCCTGCGAATGCGAGTGTGTGTGTGAATGTGTGTATTTATGTAAATTTTTGGCAGGTTTTTCTTTTTTTTTTCGGGGTTGGCCAGCACATTTTATTGTATACATTTTTCGTAGCTGAAAATTAGAAATGTTCCACTGCGTTCAACTTCACTGACAGTGCGTGGCAAATTGCTTTCCAAAGTCTGAAGTCTGGCATGTCTATACAGCAGAGAGAACACACACGTTGCTGCACTGAGAGAAATATTTTTGGATTCTTGATGCATATATTAAGAAAGAAACTATTACTTAAAGAGACAGCTATACTGCAGTTTAAGAGATAATAAATAATGTTAAAAGTTGAGTAAATTTAAAAATATTATCCCAAATTTCTTTCTGTGCCCAACCAATAGCTAACAATAATAGCAAAAAATGGCTTTTTTTTTGCTTTGCTGCCTTCTTCCGTTTCCTAACAATGAGTACAGCTAAAGGGGAGGCGAAAAGTTGAAAGTGGGCGGGATGATATAGGACCCTATATGGCTGTTCGATGTAGCGGTAATTTGCATGTGCACATAATATCCATGCATTAGAATTATGAATCCCCTCCATTTTCCCCACTCTCGAATAATGGCAACGAGTTCCGTACCAAATTTCTAGTAGATAAATGCGCAAAAAATTGAAATCGAAAATTTTCCTCACATGTTACAGCTCCTGTGCACACGGCGTATGCGTAATAAATGTGCCTACTGCCATTATTATGACATTAATGCCGATGAATCGATCATTCCCATGGGTCTGGCAATAATTATAGTGCATTTTGGTATAGTATAGTATATATAGTCTATACTCCCAACTTGAATAAAACAAACTAAGCAGAGCGGGACATTACTAAGCCGACTGGCAGACAGGCAATTAAGTTAATTACTGTTTAAACTTTCCAGTCCTGCCAGTCGGCCAGTCTGGGCTGTCGGCTGCCGGCAGAAAAAAAATCGAAAAAATTATATTTAGCAAATTAAATTCCCAAGTTGCTGCCAGAGATTGAGCACGTGGCCTGGCCGAAATTTTAAGCAGCAGAAAAATGAAAACCGAAAAGTACCTTTGAACAGTGGGTGAAAAATTCAATTGTTTTGGGGGATAAGACGAAGATTATCCCATTAAATGCAATATGTCTTTTGAGGTTTTTGGCTTAAGTAAGCTTCTGTAATATTGAATTTAAAAGGATAACTTGTATGATAAGCTAGAGTTATCTTTTGACTAAATAAAAAATTGAAATGGCTAAAATTTAACTGGGGAACTTTTTAAGAACTTTTATCTTTTTTGCTAAAAATTAAAGCTATTTATGTAACCCTTTGAAATGGAACATGGTAATCTATTAAAAAAATATTTAAATAAGTAATTTTTGTCTTCTTTTTCATGTTGTTATCCACTGTTCTGCCCCTGCATCCATCGCTATCATTATGCAGGCGGCATGCCCCATTATCATTTTGCTCATTTCCGTTGTCGTTTTTGATTTTGTTGCAGTGCGGGCAGAATGGGCCAGAAAAAGCAGCTCTAAAGTCTGCCAATGAGTGCATTTGAGTTGGCAAAAGGGAGGGGAGTAAGAGGTTTCTTGAGCCCCCACAAAAAGTACCACTTCCCCCCTTTACCATTTAGCCAGCTTTGTCAGTTGCAATAACTTTCGCGTCAGTCCAACCAACAGATCGTAATGCTCCACTCCGTTCTGCTCTTTACAGGCCACATTTCGTGTTGGACGGCATAAAACAGAAGCGGCAAATAGAAAAGCCAAACGGCGGCTAAGTTGCCTTTGTCTGCCGTCGGCGAAGGAGGAAGCCTGGCAATTGGCCAAGTTAATAGAGAGCCGGGAGGCCCGATAATGACGTTGGTGCTGCTGGAGCTGCTGTTGCCGTTGCTGCCGCCCATGCTGATGATGAGGCTGCTAACTTGGTTATTGCTGCCAGCCTAAAGGACACAGGACGAAAGGACCCAGGACGATAGGACCCTCAGTTTATACCCCCCAACTAGACAGACAACAAAAACAAGGTCTGTTAGCTGCAACGCCGGGCTTACTGCATTTCCGCATCTTGTTCCTGTCGCCGCCCCCGTCGCTGTCATCGTTATAGCCCAGTCATTGCCACAGCCGGAGTCACCATGCCCATTGCCCACCCACTGCCGCTCTGCGTGGCCTGGCTGCTGCTTCTCGTCGTGATTGTGATGAGCGGTAAGTATGCAGTTAGAGAAAAATCTGATTTTGATATCAAAATTTATCAGAAAATGGAAATAAAAACATACTTCTTATCCCTTTAAGGATTTGACAGTTTAAAAGATTACTTACCTTACGTTCTAGTGGTAAAATGGCACTGTACTCCTTTACGACTGACTGATTCAAAACCTTTAAGATAAGTTATTCTTTCCAGTGTACCAGCCCATCCACAGCCTTCGGCGTTCCGCTTTCTGCCATATTGTTGCCGCAGTTAATTGTTGGCATTTGTTTGGCGGCGATTCCTTTCCTTTTTGGCCCCTTAATTGTCCGCTCCAGCTCGGGATTTTTGTTTCAATTAACAATTAGTTTTGCCAACTGCTGCAAAAAGTTATGCCCGGACGGGCATATTCCATTAAATGTAACAATATTGCGTATACGCCTGGCGGGCCTTGACCAAAACTCGAAATGAAAAGTTTACGCTTGCATCCATCACAACAAAAATGTTCAAAATAAATGAACAAATGTGTATGGTCTATGCTCAGTTTAAAAGAGGTCCAAAAATTCAATAAACTGCACAAAGTTGAAGAGAAACTTAAATCGGCTTTTAGTTGGCTTACCAAAGAAATAGTTTAAGCTGTTTTTTCTGTTCTGCCGAAAAACTCTGGAATAGCTTTTGGTCTTAGCCGCTGGGGGAAACTCTCAACAAGTTGTTGCTGTCAACAATTATTTTTCTTGGTTTTATTTTGGAAAATGTCGAATATTTTGGCCACATCTAATGGTTTTTAAATCGTTCGGAGCTTCTGCCGCATTCGTTGCAACAAATTAGTGTAATTGAGCTTAGGTCCAATTTGCCCTTAAGCTCAGCTTAAACTACTATGTCTGACCAAATATTATGCCAAAATATTCTATCATAGCTGACCGAATTCAATGGCAAAACAAGGCAATGCCACAAATTAAGTAAACGGCACGTGCTGCCATCTGCTAAATATAGTTTTCAACGCGAGATTAACACAATTTAAGGGTAAATGGATTCAATTTCCAATTGCCAAGACTGAAAACTGATTTAATTAACAATTGTCAGGGAAAGGAGCGGGGGCACAGTCGTAGCCCTTAATGCATTTGATTTATTTTTAAAACGCCGTGGAATTTATTGCAAAAATGGCAACAAATAACTCCCGGGGAGAAGGGTCATTGGAACAATTCAAAAAGTGCTCGAATTAATTGCATTTTTGGTGCAACGAATGAAGCGGGAAAAACAAAAAAATACAAATACAAAAAAATGCGGGGAAAACAAACGGAAAAACAAGTAAATCGTGGGAAAAAAATAGTCGACGGTCGTGGACATATTTCAAAATTCAATTAAAATAAAACAAAAAGGCGGCAACAGCGATAGCGACACTATGCAATTTCCGCTTAGGGCGTGGCTCCAGTCAGGTGGGCGTAAAAATAATTAAACTACGACCAAATAAACATCGGACATCGCGCTTTTCGACATTTCCTCCCCCCACCCCCCCCAAACCGAAACCCAAAAAAAGGCCAACAAAATTGATGGCAATTTTTTAGCGATTTTCCACTGACTTCTGCATCCGACATGCACAACATTTTCAATTGAATTACGCCAATATGCCGAAAGAGTTTTTAAAATAGCTGCTGCTGATCATTTGTTGCATGGAAAAAGAGGCCCAGAACCAACACAAGATGAATTAGCATCGCTTTCACTCGGTTTTAGCTAACAGTGATCAATCCCAACCGTCAATCAATCAATCAATTTGCTCCTAAGTGCATTTTCCTGTACGATGCGGCGCGGTCAAATTAAAAGGCAAAATGGGGCTACCTGCTAGTAGTGTTGATTCTGACCTGAATTCCCTGCCATTCCGATGTTCGCAAATAAATTATTTCCAGTCGCTTTGGCAAGCTTTCTATTCGATAAAAAAAAGAAGTGGAAAAAACTTCCATTTCACCAATTTAAATATTGATTATGATTGATTTGGCGGAAAAGGCCGCAACTAAATATTGTTTATTTGCCATTGCCAGCACACTTGAATTCAGTTAACGTTTCCCAAATTGTATTTTTCGATTCTCCCTGCGCTACTCTGTAAATTACACAAAGTCAAATTTACGAGTTCCTGCCACCGCCACTTCATACAAGTAATTTTAATATATATTTTCCATTTTATTTTTGGGCAAGTCTCGTGTGCATAGAAATTGCATATTTGTGTTGAACTTTTGGCCAGTGTTTGGCTTACGCAAAATGAAATCAAATAAATAATTGCAGTGCCCGAAGGGGATGGGTCTGGCCACTGGTCAAATATTTGCAGGAAAACTTTTAGCTCTGGCCAAGTCATTGAACGTTGCTCTGGCCTGGCCTGGCCTGGCCTGGGCCAACTCAGGAAGAACTCAAACACACAGTGAAAAACTAGATGGCAAAAATCAAATAATGCAAAAAACTCACAAGAAGCCAAGTGAAGTGGAGTCAAGCGAACTGCCAAGCTTTGCCAAACACTAGACTCGACGGTGGAGAACTTGGCCACGTGCAACCCACGTAGGTAATTGAGTATGAATGGGGAATGTGTCGAAAGCGTTTTCTGATGTTTGCCAAACAAAACGCTGCAGGTTCTCCTCCAGACACTGGCAACCAAAGTAACTGGAAAATGAATTCGATACATTATCATGACGTCAAGTCGTGCGTGGTGGCGACTGGCGAAAAGTATAAATTACATCTAATGCCTTCTATAGACGGCAGCTTGGCAGAACAGCAGCAGCCCATTTCTTATGCGAAACACCTGCAGCTCAAGGAAAAAGGAGTCCGGGTCTTTTTCGATGGTCGTAGACCGATCTATATATATACCACCCACTTTTGGGTTGGGGTTGTAGCCTGGCAAATGTGCGCATAAATGAATTACCAATGAACCGCATGGTTCACGTTTTCAATTTGAAAGGCTGGGCGCTAATTTTCGGGCAGGAGTCGAGGCGAGTGGCCTGACGGAAGGGGCCAACCTAGAACAAAGACCAGAATAACCATTTGACAGATGTGCTGCTCTAGTTGGGAGGCAAGATGGCACAGTGGAACTAAAGGGGGGAAAAGGGGTTTAAAAGTGTGCAAATATTGAGAAATTTGAATGGGAATATTAATTTTATCTTTTATATTTTCCACCTTCAGAAATCATTTTCTCAACTTTCTGGAAATCTTTGAACATTTTCCCTTCAATTTAAGAGTTCTTCTTCCGCTTTTAAGTCAAACGGGAAGCCAATTAAGTTAAAACTCACCTTAAACACACTCTCTGCCTTAAGGAGTAACCCTCCTAGACACAAGTAAACAACAATTCGCTTAAGAAGACTTCACTGTACAGCCAAATGCGGAGAAGTGAGATGGCGAAGACGTGTGTACGTGGGTGAGGGAAAGGGAGCAAATCGACAGCCTACATAAAAGCGCAATTTGCGCAATTCCAACGTCAAGTTCCATTTGATTACAACACGTTGACGAGGACATACGCACTTCTACAGGACTGGGTTGCTATATAGTCCTATATATATATGTTTGTGTCTGCAGCCGGTAAAAGCAATTTCAGCAAATCTGCAATTGTTATGTCGCCTGCTAAACAACTTACTTCGAAGGCAGGCCCTCTCGCACGTCAAATATTTATATTGCATTGCTCATTGCTATTCCTGTACATATATATACCTTGGTATATATAGCTAGCTCTTGTTGCTCTCATTTTCGGGGTATTTCGGGTATTGATTAAGCACCATCAGGGAGCTGGAACAATGGCCCGCCTCAATTACTGCAGCAGTTTATGTCCCCCACACGGACCCACATGTCTGTCTTCCTGCTTTTTACAGCCCTTTTATGTATCCTGCATATATCCTCTATAGATTGTTAACGTCACGAAAGGGGCCAGCAAATATATAAAAAACGGAAAACAGACACCGGCGAGCATAAATCATGCAAACGACTTGATGGCGTCTATTAGTCTGTTTATAGGCCTAGTTAAAATGTTTATAGAGCCAACTTTACGGTGAGCAGCAATTAAACATAACGGGCGGCTCCTGTTGATCGGAGGGGTTGAAGGCCCCTGAAAAAAAGAAAGGACAACGAAAAGGTTGGGTCTCGTAAAAAACAAAGTTGGTAGTTAACAATGTTGCTTTCCATACGATGCGGCCAAAAAATACATCAAAGGGCAATCAGTTTGAAAAGAGATCCCAAAGTAAGTCTTTAAATGTGTTTCTTTAACCAATTTTCTTATAAATATGTTTGAAAATAGTTTAAGTAACAATTGTGGTTAATGGAATATGGAAGAAAGAAATATTACACCTTCGAGTATCTTCAAAAAAAGGTTTCCCATGAAAAACAATTTGCTTACCACCTTCGTTACTTACAAGGCAAATCAAAAGTGTGATAAAAACAAAAGCCTTTCCATTTGCTAGCAACCAACAGGCTCAATCTCTTGAGGAAACAAATAAAAATAAAACAGAAAAATATCGTAAAAGCCCAATCAATTTGCTCAATAAGAGCATTGATAGCTCCTCGTATTTCCCCCAGTGTAAACTTGATGAGCAGTGATTACACATACTCACATTTCTCTCGGCTACGTGAGGAAAACACGGGGCACGGGCACGGGCACGGGATTGGGATTCATGGGCTCCTTTGGCTTCGGCTGCTGTCAGGATTTCCAGGACTCCCAGGAGTGCACTTTACGCACCACTTGTGTGGAATCCTCCACAGGAATCCTTCGAAACGGCGCAGCGGCAACAATTGAGAATTTATTCATTGAACTTTGGCGTTGCTTTTTCTCATTTTCCTCACTTTTCCTCGTTTCCTACACCAAACACAACCTCTCATTTAGACCTATTAAACGTGGAATTTCCGTGGTAATACAAACAATTTCCGTCAGAACTTAAAACACCCAATGATGTGGCTCACTGAGTCACGGTCTATTTATGGCATGCCTGGCCATTTATTGATGAATTTCATTTTATTTAATTTCATTCGCTGCCGGCCATCGCCATCGCCAGCTTCA